TTTTTTTTGCCCTTAACACTCAAGGGGGCGAGGCAGCTGTTTTTTACATTTTTTTGGGTCAAACGAAAAACGAGCTCTCGTTATCTCAAAGCATCGGGGGCCAGGTCCCACTAGCAAAAGAGGATTGGATTGAACGCCAGAATCTGGACGCGTTTGGTGAAAGGGCCACAAAAGCGAGATTGAACTGCTTTTCTGCATTCGTGGTTAAAACGCATCCAGATTCAGGTGTTCCATCCAATCCTCTATGCTAGTGGGACCTCGCCCCGGGGGACAGCGATGAGGAGGAGAAGGCAGCTGAAAAAAAAAACAAAAAAAACAAAATCCCAAATCATCAACTGGGAGGGAGCAGCCTGTTTCAGTTCAGGTGGAAGGGGCGCTGCTAATAATATGCTACTCATGCACCATGTATCCCTTTTATTTATTTATTTATTGCGTAGGGGCCATGCTAATCTTCTCTGTAATCATTCCAACGGGACGCTACACGTATACTCGTTCTCCACAACGGGACGCTCCCCATGAGCAGACTGGATCCGTCGAAAAGGCAGCAGGTGCCTCGGCCCCCCTCTGCCCCTCTGCCCCCCTCTGCCCCCCTCTGCCCCTCTGCCTCTTCCCCAGTCCAGGAGGTGCGCTTATCGCCCCTCGGAGGTAGACAACTGTGGAATCGATGTCTCGTTCAGATAGAACCAACAAACAATCTCGTTCAGATAGACCCAACAAACAAAAGAAAAAGGGCTGAAGCGACCCCGATTTCAAAAGGATATCGCACCCCTTCACCTTCTCGGCAGTGCCATTTCACGGCCGCTCGCAGGCCTGGCTCGACTGAAGCCCGTGTGACCAATCCCTCCGATCAGTATCTTCTTCTGTGACTGTCGCACTAGCCCAAACTTGTTCTTTTTTTTCCTCTCATCTGGACCATTAGTCCTTCAGGACATCCGTGAAAATTGGGACGACTCAGAGAAGGGTAATTAGCATGGTCCCTGTGCGCAACGATGACACCCATAAATCGAGAAATTGTCCCAATTTTCTCTCCCAAATTTCAGTTTCAGAGAACGATTAGTATGACTCACGATTGTTCGGCAGCATTTCGAACGATCCCGGACGAATGTCGCACATGAGCGACGCTGACGACACCATCTGACAGTGGCTGATTAGCGATCGTGGCGAAACCCGAGGTATGCGTCGCACTTGACGCGAACTTCTCCAGTCCTTCCACGTGTCACTCCCCGGTTCTTCGTCACCTTCCTTCCTTACGCAGTCAGAGTTCATCCCTCTCTCTCTCTCTCTCTCTCTCTCTCTCTCTCTCTCTCTCTCTCTCTCTCTCTCTCTCTTTTCCCCTCGCCCCCCCCCCGGCGTTCCTTGTTGATGACATCCTTCTTTGCTCTGCTCTTGATTCACAGTCTCTGTTTGAGAGTTTAACACTCTCTCTCTCTCGTTCTCTGTGGCCCCCTTTCCTTCTGCGAGAGGAACATGTCTGTACGAGTGTGTGGGTTCGACGAAAACAGACACGCGGGTCTTTTTCGCTTATATAGTTTTTTTAATCAGGCTTGGAAGCCTTTTTTTTTTTCCCTTTCCTTGTTTTTTTTTTTTTTTTTTTCCGGAAAGGGCTTCTAATCTGTAACCCAAAATAATACCCGCTGTCCTTTCTCGTTGAAGAAAGAGTTAAAGGCTCCTGTCTGAGGCTTTGCCAATCCAGAAAACCCCACGTTACCGTCTGTTAGACGGTTCTCCAGTGAAAAAAAACATACATCATCACCCGTGAGGGATTTGCCTTGAAATCAAGCTCCAATCCTCCTCCTCCTCCTCCTCCTCCTCGTCCCGCATTTCTCATTTTTCTTCGTGTGCGTAACAGAGACTAGTATGTCCGACATTGAATGGCTATTCTTGTGAAGCATGTACGAAAGGCAGTTGGACTCCTACTTTTGGTGGGGTCTTGGGTGTTACGGCATTGATGAAGAGACCCATTGATTGTACCTACTTGCTGATCTTGTCGAGTCGTGTATCCGAGGTGGACTCTTGTTTGTGTGATTTCCATCTGACATCTCACATCTCGCTAGTCGCGTCCATTTTCTGTTTTGTCCCTTTTCTTCGTCTTCTTCGTCTTCGTCGTCATCTTTTTTCTTTTCTGTCCCGTACAGGTGGAACAGTCTAACAGGCATTTTCCTTTTAATTTCATTGGTGCTTTCTTACCGTTGTACTATTTTTTTGAATTTAATCCCCCCAGTTCCCCCCCCCTCCCCTTTTCCCCCTCTCATATCCAATCCAATCCTGCACATTTCAACTCCCTAGATTATCAGCGTCATCATCATCGTGAGGAGCGGCATCGCCTTTAGTCCGATCGTGGGGGTCGCGGGCGCGCCCCGTCGTTGAACTTCAGCTAGGGCCATGAAGCGCGTGCCCCATTCCACCGTTGATAAAGGGCCGAACCAGCGGATAAGTATGAGAGTGAGGAATACGAGGAGGAGGAGAAGAAGGAAGGAGGAGAAGGAAGGAGGAGAAGAAGGAAGGAGGGGAAGAAGGAAGGAAGGAGTACGGGTCGTTTGAACGGGAGCCTGTTGATCAGGAGAGAAAGGATGGGGTAGGGACGATTGACAGATCATCAGATGATCGAGAACGCTCCTCCTCCTCCTCCGTCCCTCTCTCTCTCTCTCTCTCTCTCTCTCTCTCTCTCTCTCTCTCTCTGTGTGTCTGTGTGTGTGTTTAACGCTCGTCAATCATCGAGATCATGGACGTCGCCTCCCCATCGTCCTCCGCCTCCTTCCCCTCCTGCTCCTATTCTCTCTCTCTCTCTCTCTCTCTCTCTCTCTCTCTCTCTCTCTCTCTCTCTCTCTCTCTCTCTCTCTCTCTCTCTNCTCTCTCTCTCTCTCTCTCTCTCTCTCTCTCTCTCTCTCTCTCTCTCTCTCTCTCTCTCTCTCTCTCTCTCTCTCTCTCTGTGTGTGTGTGTGTAACTATGTCTGTATGTAACTATGTCTCTGTGTGTGTGTGTGTGCGTGTGTGTGATGAACTCATGATAAACCCATGCTAAACTGATCATAAACCCTCACGGTGAACTGATGCTGTTAAAATGTGAGTGGCTGCTGATAAAGGTAGAGTTATTACGACTGTCAGAACAATAAACCCATGCAGAACGATGTGTTGATGACGGTTAGTTAACGCAGTACTTAACCGATCGCCGATGCGGTAACTTATCCTTAACCAAACCATACGTGTTACTTTTTTACTTCTTTTTTTTTTTAAGTCCGGGTGACCCCTCTCGAGTGGTGATAAGAGCAGACACTCTAAGGGGCCGCGGGTAGTGAAGGGTCCATCTATTGGTGGGGAGCAGCACCTGCTGGAAACTGGGTCCAGCGTCCCTTACATGGCATAGTTGAATCTGGTAGGAAGTTGCAGTGATAACCTTTTGTGCCGATCAGCCTCTTCAATCCAGTGAGGATCGCCATCTTTCGACCATTTATCCTAGCTTTCTAGAGAGGTCTTCTGTTGCTTGTCTTTATTATGTTGTGAAGTTAAGGATGAGTTAAGAAGTTAAGGATGAGTTAAGTTCAATGAGAAGTTGCCGTTGCTGTTATGAAAATATACCTGAAAAAAAAAGAAAAGAAAAAAAGAAAGAAAAAAAAGAGGAAAAAAAAAGAAAAGAAAAAAAAAGAAAAAAAAAGAAAGCGACGTTAACTATCAGTTAACCATGTGTTAACCTATGGGCCGACATGTGTGTGTCGGAAATCATCCAGAATCGCAGACTGTCTAGTCTATTTTTAGATCTATAGCCTGCACATGGAGGTTACCATATTCCCCCGAATAGAACGTACGGTCATTATCACTCTATCTGGACCAAAAGTTGCCCCTGAATACTGTTATGATGTCCGCCTTTTTTTCTTTTAAAAAAAAAAAAATTGGACCATTTCTCGATTTCTGCGTGTCATCCTTGCGCAGGGGACATGCTAATCTTCTTTGTTTCGTTCCAATTTTAATGGATCGCCCGAAGGACTGTCCTCCTATTTTTAGATAGATAGCCTTCACATGATAAAGATCGTGGTCGATGGCCAACGTTGCCTGCTCTCCACATTCCATGCACTCCGCGTGTGCCTGCAAGGTTGCATGCTCTCCACAGTACGTGCACTAGACGTTCCACGAGCGCCACGTTCCATGCACTTCTGAATCATGTTTCCTTCGAGTCTCTTGAAGTTAAGTCCGGCTTCTTCTCTTCTTCTTTTTTTTTTTTTTGGAAAAGGTTGTGCAGGCTGAGGTATAGCCAGGCCCTACTTCTTCCGTTTCCATGTTCCATGCACTCCACGTTCCGCCCACTCGCACGCACTCCTCATTCCGCTCATTCCATGTTCCGTGAACTCCAAGTTGCATGCGCTCCATGTTGCATGCGGTCCACGTTGCATGCTCTTCACATTCCACGTTCTACGTTTCCACGGTCCACGTTGCATGCTCTTCACATTCCACGTTCTACGTTTCCACGTTTCCACATTCCCACGTTCCATGTTCCATGTTCCATGCGCTCCGCGATCCATGCAGCCAGCCCACGTTCCACCATTCACGCCAGAGAATACGATCCCCCTCACTGCTTCACATTCTCTCCCCACGTGAGCCACGTGTCAGTTCCCTGCGCTCAAAATGTTCCACATGCGCTTGAGGTCCAGGCTTTCACGTGTACCCTACCCTCCGGAGAGAAAGAGAACATCTCTCTCTCTCTCTCTCTCTCTCTCTCTCTCTCTCTCTCTCTCTCTCTCTCTCTCTCTCTCTCTCTCTCTCTCTGTCTCTCTGTGCTTGTGGTTGGATATATGCTGTTGTCTTTTTCCCGCTCATCTTGCTATTTCTGCGGCCCCTCCACTTGCTCCTCTGTCGCACTTTTTCATCTTATTTTCTGGCCAAAAGTTTTGACTGCTTAATCTTTCTTTCGGCTGTCGCCACTGGTGCTTTATTTGTGCAAAGTTCTGCAGTGAGGGTCTCGCCACACCGCTGTCCAAACGAAAAGGAACGAATGCATCTTCCTCAGAGATTGGTGAGGTGCCACCTCTAGTACCTTTAGAGTGGAGCTTGTAGCACAACTATTTGCACTCCAAATGAGGAATGACCAACTATTTGGCACTGCTTAAAGGTGCTCAGATAGGAAGATTTGTAGGGTAGTAGGTTTTAGAGTGCAGCTTAGAAGTGGTAGTTTTCGAGTAGAACTGTAGAGGTGGAGGACAAGTCCTCCACCACGGTCCATCTCAGTCTCCTTTTTGTTTTTTTTTAAGCGGCGGCTACTATAGGGCGTGATAAGAGCAGCCTCCCCTAGTAGATTCCCCTGGGCACTCCATCTATTGGCGGGGAGCTGCACCTGCTGGATGGGGGGTTCGAGAGATTCCAGTCATGGGCCAAGGTGGTCTGAGCTAACCTGATCCATGGTTGGGTCGCTACAGAGGTAGGAGTCTCACAGGACATTTGGCCAGTAGGACTGCATTCTGCATTCAATTTTCTGTTTTTTTCTCAATGATCTTCCACCACGCGACCTTGCTGATGCTGGAGCATACAGTAGAATCGCCTTTCCGGATAAATCTTGTTAATGATTGTCTGAGTAGTTTTGCAGAGGATGAAGACAATTCTCTGAAAAACGCCCGTGAGGGGAAGGGATTTTTGCTTAGACCATTTAGCACAGGAGTGCCTGATCCTATTGTCAATCACTGTGACCTTGGTCAGATTGCAGTCTTTAAAGGAGAACTTGATACCCAGGTACCTTTCACATTCCGTGGAGGGGATAACTTCGGTACCGATATCTGTAGCCACCGGGGAGCTGTCAGTGGTGAGGGCTACAGATTTATTCCAACTCAGAGCAGTGAAACTCACCTTCATTTCTAAAACCTCCTCATACAAAATTTCATAGTTTTGAAGCAATGAGCGATGTATTTTTTTTTTCTCTCGTTTTTTTTCTTCAAACGGCAACGGCCTTGGGGTGTAAATTGAACTAACTGGCCCTTGGTGCTTCACAGTAGTATCATCATCAACCTGCCCAGGCTTAAGGTATCATCATAGAACCGACAACCTCGAGGTACGATATGATTAATCCAGAATCGGTGTCATTACTCAAATAAAAACAGCTTTGCTGGTTGCTATCGAAAAAAAAAATCATAATTAGGAACTACTGATGCGAATGATTTTTTTTTATCGTGCGGGATTCCTGCCGTTAGGC